TATATATATCTTGTTAAATAAATCATGGATGAGTGTTTTATCCATCCGCATTTCTAGTTGTTTCTAAGGGCTCTTTTTTTATTTTTATCCTTCTTATCATTTAACTGAGGCAGGTGGCTAATAGCCGTTAAGTTTTCGGTATCAGCACTCGTGGAAATGACATGCTATGAGTATGCTTAACATGACCTCCGCTATGTCTAGCTTACTACGTTTGCCAACATTCAGTATTTCATTGTTTTGCCAGAGGCATATCAGCAGTCTGCATATTGTACATCGTCCGTCTCTCTAGCTAAGAGAGCCTCTTTTGGCGCTCAACGAAAAACCTTTCGTACATTCGTTTGAACCTGGTCCAAAGGCAGCAAAACGGGCCTGGCAGCGGGGCAAACTATGTCGTATTACTCCTTAGACGAGTTGACTAGTTTTGCCGATTGGGTGTGTGCCCGGCAGTCTTCTCTTGTGAAGTGGAAAGAAGTCGGGAATGACCTCGGATTTCGGATAGAGGTTATTCTCTTTACTTTTCCCTTGCAGCTTTCCTGTTACATTCCATATACCAATGCCAGGACTCCTGATCCCTTGCGACTTCCACCCACACCGGGTACTCGCATGAAAGATGGATACGATAGCTTACGTTGAGCGGCACCGAGGATATGGCCATTTTGCTGACTAGTCTTACTTTTTAGCCTAAGGTCAAAAATAACGCTGATAAACGCTTGAGCTGGCTTAGCGTTAGAATACTGGGCGATGAAACAGGTCCAAGTATTTTTTTTACCCCGGACCAAGAGGCAAATTATATGGCAATAGCTTTTTTAAATAAACAGTATTTCAGAAAAAGGGAAAAAGGTTTTACATCTGGAAAGAGGTTCTCACTGATATCAGAAAGTAGGATTCGTCCAGAGCTCAACGCGAAACTTTTTGTTTCGCCAATATTTTTGACCGTGTTGGGTTCGAGCTGATTGGCAATGCAGCTTAAGAAAAAGTAGAAGTTAACTTTTAAAGCATATATATATATAGATTCAGAGATAGTGTTTGCATTACTCAGCCTAACCCAACTATTGAACGAACAAAGACAAAATTTTAATTAATAACCTTTTATGAATGATATATATACGCAAAGGAAAACATAAATTAATGGGTAAACCCGCAAATATGATTACGGTTTCTGTTCGAATGTGTGCAATTCCAATCCGCGGTGACGCAGCCCGGAAAAGGCCAACGCGCGCTCAGAGCGGTGTGAAACTCTCTTATCGAAAAAAAAAGCATTTTGTCTTGACACCTATGCAAATCTACCCGGAATCGTCTTATACTTATTTATCCAAAGTACCCCGTTCAATATTACATATATTGGAATGAAATAACCATGTAGGGAGGACGCGTTACAAGCAGAGAGCTTTAAACAAGTGTAACGTTGAAAAATGCACACCTTTTGGGTATCCAGGACACTCGATTTTTAACCATCCTTTACTAGACTTTGGAAATTCACTTAGATCAATATGATTTGAGAAATGATCTTGTTTTTTTCACATTACTTGTCCAACACTGATGATTTGTCGCAGTGCCTTTTGTCTGCACGTTGTCCTTAGGAGGATGATATAACTGACGTCGTGCATGAAAAGTAACTAAATTGACAAAAGTAACTGAATCAGTGAAAATGTGAACCTACCGAGCTTCCATGCTGCTAGCATTGTACATATGGCTGCATCTGATGGCGGGAGACAAATGACGATGTGACGGAACCCGCTAAGCTTGTCTGCCAGATTATGGGTTACTCTACCAAGATCTTCAAATGTGAGTTGTAGGTCATCGAATAGAAGCGCCGTTATCTTCGGGGACGTCCGCACCATCGACGTAAAATGGTCGTACATGTTCGTTGACGAGCACATCGTACCTCGGCGACCCGTCTGAAACAAAGTAAAAATGTATTGTTTCCCATGTTATTTGCTAAATTTTGTTATGTTGTTAATAAGTGCTGAGCTCTGAGAGGTTGATTTTTAAACACGCTTGTTATATCTAAAAGCTCAGTTATTTTTAACAGTGGAGGATGAGCATCGTATCGAGTAAACAGGTGCTCTTGACCTGATGACAAATCATATGCCCAGCCCAGATAACGCAAGGTTAATAACACCATACATTCGTGCCGTGAAGTTCATTTATTTACTGTTACAGAAAACAAAAAAGGTAAATCGGCAAAAAAGAGCTGGCATGACAACAAACAGCTGAAAACTTTGGTTTACCCCAACTGTTTCTAATTATAGTTTTCAACCGTGTATCATCTGCATTGGGGTAGCTGAGGTCCGTGTGCTTTGAGCCAATGAAACTGCCACTAGCTATTCCAAGTTGCATAGTCGATTAACTCCTAGAGGCTTCAGCTACCGTTCGCTGGATCCGTCGCTTCACAGAAACGTGAAGTTCGTCATTAGTAACGTGTACAGGTATGCTGGATTTCTCCCTAACATTCCTGTTCGCTCGGTACCGTTTAATCCCATATTGAGCCATAAACACGAAATAATTCTTCTATTGAACGACGACGTTTCGCTGAATAAGGTTACGAACGAACTGCACACCAATGAAAGTACACGCTATGGTGTTTTGCTTTTGGACGTTGAGAAGTTTTAATGCAAAAGTCTAATTTACTTCTTCGTCCGATCGATCGCTTACCAGCTTTGACGGCAAACCCCTGTCGATTTTCCTGTTTCAAAGTCAAGCCTTCGCGTCGGTTTAGTAAATCCCAGAAGAGGTACGAGAATAGCAGCTTCCAGTGGACAGCATCGGCATGACTCGTGGTTTGTACGCAAGTTCGACATTCAAAATTGTAAGTATGTCAGGTATGACATAGCCCCGATTATTCGTAGCCAAGTGGAACATCGTCGCGTACTAACTTTAGATTTGCCATCTACTTTATCGTTGACGTCGTCATCGATACACACGTTATCGGTTGCGTGTGTATTTTCACAGAACACTCTGCTGAGCTATAGCTTGACACCAATCGCAAAATGAAAATAATTAGATCTGTACTTTGACAGATGCCCGAAGCATAAAATTCTGCTCTAGTAATTCTAGGCAGAAGATATAGTAATGCTTGCATATAACAACTGCATTAGAAGCAAAAGCTTTTTAGCCCTGATGGTCCATTTCAAAAAATGTCTATCAAGTAAAATAGTAATTTAGCGGTAGCTTATTTGGCAGACGTTATATATCTGGTTGAGCTTATAGAACCTAATTGAAGTCTGATCAGTGAAAACACATGGGCGCTCCCTCTATTATACACAGCTTATACGGATTACATACAAAACATTCGTAGCACCTTCACCTAATTCGCACCCATTTCATCGTAAAGGTCGATGTGATACAGTTTAAGTCTGCCAATTTCGATTCGGGTATATGTATATATATATATATATATATATGAGGTGTTCAAAATAAAGCGGTATCAAATTGATCTCGCTAAGGGCGGACGTACGTAGATGGATTTATAAATCTCTCGCAAGCCAGTGTCAAAACGTTTGCATTTATATTTTTTAGCACCTTTTTACTAGTGATAGTGAGCTAGTCGACGTTGCCGTGCGACGATTTGTTAGATATTCGCTTTACATACACAGTAACCCAACGTGCGCTAGTGTAGATGAATAGCCACAAGACGGCTATAAATCTTTGTTCCAATGACAGGCCAGGTGTGCACTAATTTGCTTATTCAAAAAAAAAGCCAGGCAGACATGTAGCCTATGATTCAACACAGCATCTATACAAAGTTTCACCTTTTCTGAGGACTTTTGCGAATTTTACGAAGTAAAGAAAGAGGTAAAGCGGGCCGGTGCCACATATATAACATGCAACACTCAAAACGGAGGTGTTAACCAGAAATTTGCTTTTACTTCCCCCCAACAGAAATGTACTCAGGGTTGTAGAGACCTAACACTCATCCTCGCGATTCGTTTTTACATCCGCAGTAAATGTCTTCTCGAGCTCTTTCTCGTTATCGTGTATAGAAACCTGATTCTGTCCCTTCAGCTGCCTCGTACTCAGTTAGGATGCGGTAAATCATTGATTTCTTGCAAGCAAGGAAGTATATAATATTGGCGAAAATTATTCCCTCAGCGAAGATATTGGACGGTAGTTGACTTTTAGGAGATGGTCCTGCTGCCCCCATTACGATATCACATTGGCTACGAACTTGCTCTAGTCGATAAGAAGAAATGTGCGCTTATTGGCTGTGATAAAATCTGTCAAAAAAGCCTTCGTAAGTGGTGGTCTAAAGTATGACAGTAACATCACAAGCCGTTGCAGACATGCATTTGATGACGTAGTCCTTTTTCTATTCAACTTATTCTAGCATGTAATAATCTTGTATTCTTCATTTATGCACAGTAAGTACTAAGTGATGGTTCACAAATTGAAATGAATAATAATAATCGTACTCTACCTTGCAAGCTGGAAGTTTGTAAGGCCGACAGGTTTAATGTGATAAGGCTGAAATACAGTGCACGGCAGGACAGCCCAATCCGCACAATATAATTGAGTTTGTTCTTGAAGCAGCTACCCACGAACGGGAGCTATTCTGAACGGTACTAACTTTACAAAGCGTTAGTCAGAACTTAGCCTCTCGAATTGTTGAGCGAACTCGCTTCGAGCATACGCGTCTCTATCTGACTGCTAATGTTGTTGATTGGATGTTTCTAGGTGACAAGAAATACTGTGGTTCGACAAAAGTGGCCTTTCGCCTTCTTCGCGACCTTAGCTCGTCTATAGAGCTCAAGAAACGCTCGTTGGCCGTCACCATTAACCCTTTCCCTGGCACATAAACAGATGCCGTACTGCTTGGAACATCATCAACATCGTTAGACGACGTTGTCCGGCAACATAAAGAAAAACCTTAAGTAATATACCGTATATAGCCTGTCTGTAACCATTGTTTTTCTTGTTGTACTGCTTTATTCTTACTATATTAAGCGTATTAGGAGCGTATCATAGTACGGTGCCGCTGACACATCTCACAATAGGATACGTTTTATCGTCACGTCACTATCTTCTTGTGATCAATCGCTTCAAGTTCATACCAGTGTAATTCTTGTTTGACGCGAAAGACCATATTTGACTTTTCTTGAGCGTTTCAAAAATGGGCATCTATTATACATCGTTTGTGTAATCTGCCCGACTAAGATTCTGTTACATGTCTTATCCCTGCCGTAACTCGAAAGGTCTACTATGAGATCGTACCGTTGCCGCGTTAGTGTGTGTACTATTTAATTATCGATTCAAAATACTCTGTGGACGCACCCGACGTATCGCACTGACTCATACGAATATTACTTGTCCTTTAAGTAATTACGTCAATCAATACATCAGCAGTGTACTATAGAATAACATTATTTACACAGTTATCCTAACGTATACATGCTCCTAATATCAATGGCTAAGCAGTCTTGAATTGCCTAGGCAAACCGTCAGGAGGTTGGCGGCAGATTTTAACAGTAGAATTTTTCAGTTTTCCGCAGGTGGAACTTTTCGACACCCGGAAAAGTTATAGGAATCCCTTATGATCCATTTGCCTTGAATAACATTTAATAAGCCATAGTAGTATTTGACAATACAGCTGTAAAGTTTTATTCCTTCTATAGCTTAAGATCGATGCAATTTTACGTCGTCGATTATCCTTGAGTGCACATTCAATGGCTAACGGTGGACTATTTAAACGAAGTTTAATATATCAAGCACATGAACGCTCACGTATCGAATAAAGCTGAACTAGCGGGCTCCAAGGATTATTGCTTGGCGCGTTCATTCAAGATACTGCCATCCTTCTTATAGGCCATGTGACAATAGAAAGGAAAACTATTGGAGGCAAATAATAATGTTCAAAAAGCCCGGAGGGCAAGAAAAAATGCGCGTGCTAAGGACGAGCGTGCGAAAGGTTCATCATACCTATAACGAGTGTCCTTTAGCGGATGGCAATCATTTTTTTTTCGTCCTCTCACTTGAGAAAGAATCAATAAATCTCACAAATAATTGATTCTCGTTTGGTGACAAATATCAAAAAATGCTTTTCAATGCCCTTATTTTTGTGACAGTTAAAAACAACAACTCATAGGTTACATTCTACTGCCGCCTCTTGATAATCCTTTTATCTTACTACCACTGCTGCTGTCATTTCAGTTAAATACTACTCGATACAGCATGTACGTTCTTCCCCTATTATTTTGAGGGCAATACACGCAATCATATTAACGAAGTGGCCCGATGCGAATTTTTTTTTTTTGAGCCTGATGCTCAAACCACTGCAACAACACCGCCGGCAAAGGTCTCGACCGCGATGCGGGTGAGACCTTTGCCGGCGGTATTGCTTCCTATACACAATATTTCGGAGAAGACCAGCAACTGCGCTATATAGTGATAACAATAAATTCAGTGATTAAAAAATTCAAGTTAGAGTCGAATCCGGCGCTCAGACATTGGAAGTCTGACGGCCGTCGAAGCGTATATCCACAACACAATATCAACATCATCATTATTGTTCTTGTTATGATTGCTTAACCTCCGTGTGCAAACCGAATTCGACCAAACAAACGAACGGGCAAGCTGGGTTGCCCTTGGGGGTTTAGTTGAATACGAATGGAATCGACTATTTTGTCTCTGCCAGTACGACAGCACGCTTAATATTAAATAAAAATTCTCATTCTCAAATATCTACGTATCTCAATTAACGCGGGAGTCTGTTTATTGAGGGTCTAAAGATGGCCATAGTTGTGGTCTACTTCAAAAAATTGTATCAACCGTTAGTTTCTCTCATTTTCGGATTCTCACAAACTTGCTAAAATTTAAATTAGCTTTTCTTTGTAGGATGTTTCTATATAGTTTGATTTAAGCCGATTTTTAGACCATTGTGTTCAGGCTCGTTTCAAGAGTTTGTAATAGCTTATTTCTTTGCTTGGCGTTATGTACGTGGTGTATAAAAGCATTTCAATAGAGCTTGTGTCAGTTTAGACTGTGTTTTTTTTTATGTTGGTTCTTCGCTGCTTTGTTATTTATTACTAGCCTATTTTATCTCTCCTATTCTCATCTAATCGTGCAAACTAGCTGAAAGGCCGAAGCCGTTTGTCTGTGCGTATCTTTTTGGTTCGCCATGTCTCAAATAGTTTCGCTTGGGTTTATATACGGTAAAGCAAAAAGGTTAGTTATTAAGGGAACGTAGTTTCGCCGTCGCTTATACACAGCTATCATTTCTGTTGTCGAAAACTACAGTGACCAATTCGTGACCAAAGCCTCTCACGTTTAATGACAATAACACGGTATCTTCTGGGTGCCAGATCTACTTATTATTCATTTTTTTGGAGCGATATTTCAGCAAAAGCTATCTTAGTAAATGCTTAATTATCGATTTGATGATTCAGGTGTCATATCTAAATTTATGAACAAGTCAGCCCTCGATACGTTCAAGGAGCATGACGTGCACACGTCTTAGAATTGGGACGTTGCTAAACGTTCATTTTCTCGGACCGTCAACGGACACTCGTCTCTTTTTAAGCGAATTCGATCTTCGGAACCGGTGTTGAACCAGATCAGCAAAAGGACCGTTCGCCTTTATCAACTAACTTTTGTCTTCTATTTTACGTTCGTTGTATGACGTTGAAAATTAAATCAAATGCTCTAAAATGTACACTGGGATCAATATGGTTGCGGATAGCTAGAAAGAAGACCTTCCACACGCGTTTGGAAACAAATCTGCAAAAGTTTAATACATATAAAAAGTATCGATTACTAAATGCTTCCGGACGTGTGATCGCACGTCATATACACATACATACACAAACGTATAAGCACGCAGACACAAAAGCCCTCGAATTAATACCCTGCTCGCCACTACCTTATATTTCCGGTTATTCTGCTTATTACATATTATCCTCTTACAACGACCACAAATGTCCTGTCTTTGTTAATGTTATATATATTAGACAATTACCGCAACCTCTCATAATGACTTATCTAATTGCTCCAAAAAATGGCCCAAAGCTTAGAAGGGTGTAATAAATATTACGATATAATACCGTATTATTTCTACGGAAATTTAGCAGCCCGAAAACATTCTATTAGCGCTTAGCGCTTACACAAATACAGTGATATTGCGCACAACAGCATTTGTCTCCTTCTTTTAATATTATACAATATATTTGCCAATAATTCATGTTATGTTATTTATATGATACTATCCGATAAATTATACTATTGTTATTAAAGTTGCCATAGAGTCTGTAAAAAAACATAAATTCAAACCCAAAGATTTTAAGACGTTTCAGCTTATGTCAGCATAAAATAAAATGAAAATCTCACCATGAGTGCTCTTCACTAAAGTGAGACTAAGAGATAACTTCCATCAACCAAAGAGGGGAGTGCAATAATTTTATTTTTTGTGATTATTTTCTAACGATTACATACTGATGCTGCATTTGCTGGTTGATTAGATATTAGAAAATAGCCATTTCGAAGATGACGAAGGCTCGCCAAAAAGAAGGTTCAAGTAGGGTCGCTCGTACGTAAGAACGCATGTATTATATTTAAAAGCTAGGAAAAATGACATATGTGTGTCGTAATATCCAACAGAGGAATCAGGAAATACCTTTATTCATTGCCAGCTTTGCGAAATTAATTGTGATGCTGCCACGGACAGATGATTTCCTAAGTATAATTGAATATCATTAAGGCTATTTGTCGTTAAACAGATACTGAAGATGATGTGATGTTTGTTTCTACGTGGTAAAAAACTTCTATATACAATTTAATTAAAATTTAATTAATTTAATTAAATAATTAAGCTCACTAGGTTCACGTCTTTAGGAAAACGTACGCTTTATAAGGAAATCTAATATGAATTACGAGTCAGCTCTAATAGTTCCATAAACATCGGGAAGCTTGACTCTGCTTACGTATATATCTTTACTCTGTAGTAAAAAGGTATAGTACATCAACGATTTTGTGAAAGTAAATGGCCACAGAGACCGTCACTGCTCTCTCTAGCCTTTGCGATCACAGATAAACCTTAACAGATTAACCTTGAGATTGACGAAGCCAGTACCTTCCTCGCTAGCAGCCGCCATCGCGGCAGGCTTATCGCTGCGGGTTGACCTCGGTCGAGAGCAACGTTAACGGTTCGTGGTTGTTGAGACTCTTCAGCCAGTACCCAGCGTACGTACGAACATGACCGTCGTCTACAAAAAAGAGTTTCCCTTAATGAAAAAGCGAGCCGACGTAGAATGAAGGTCAAAAGAAGATGTGAAGATAATGATAGAAAATGTTGGTTAGTACCCCACACAATTTTGGCAAATATCTAGAAGTGAAGCACGGTGTTTACGAGGAGGATCATTGATCTCTTAAAAAATAATCTTGCAGCTAGTCGTAATCCATCAATTAAAAAAATCGCATCATCATCAGCTATCTATCTTCGACAGAGAAGATTTCGAGCAATATAATTGTTACGACTTCTATGAAGAAAAGGTGTGACCCGTCGCTGTTACTGATCTGAGGAACATGATACGATTTGAAAAAACTATACGATCATGACACAAGAGAAGACGTCAGACCAGCAGCGACTGTTATCCTGAAAGGTTGTTTTCGGCAATGGCTCTATGTTAGTGTCTTGGTGTCTGGATGTGTTTGTTCAACGCACAATGAAATTTAAAAAAGTGACATTAAAACTGACGTTGCGAGACGGATATGTTGCTACCGCTTCTTCTTTAGTAGACTGAATAAAGAGCATTAGAAATAAGAGCTATTTGATAATGCACTTCACATTTGGGTTCATTATTCTATTTCAATCTCTTCAATGGGCATTTTGATTTAGCCCCTTATGCCCCACATCAGCCTGGTATCGCTTCATGTGTTGACGATTTAGTTCTACTCAAAGAGTTTGAATACTGCATTTTAGATATACACTACCTAAAGAAGTGTAAACAAAAGATTATGCGTACGAAGTAAATCCTCTGGATCCTCTGAAGCAGATTTTTAACTTAATGGAGATCCAAAATTTTCTGTTCTTCGAACAGACTATCCATTGGAAATAGTGATTTTCTCCATAAAATTTCAAGGGAACTGGACAATTTTGTGCAAGTAATATTTACAACACGGTCATTCACAACAATTGTCACGCTGAAAGACGGTACTATGACGATCAAAGGTACAAGTGCTCTGCATCATAAACATTCCGCAATTCTAATCCTTTAACAGTTACGCCGTAGCTCCGATCCGTCGGAATACGTCGTCGGTTCCGCCACACTGTAAGACAGAAAGCAGCCGTACCAGTTGATTAAGTATGCTACCGCTTCCTGGTACCGCTATCGCTACCATTATTTTTCTCCTATTCTTCTAATATATGTTGCCTTTTACTAGCAGGTCCCACAACCTACGCAGCCAACATTCTACCATTCATCCCCAGCACCCGCGAACCTTTTTTATGTTCTTGATTCCTTTCTTTTTTCTTTATTTCCTCTGCAATCTAACAGGTAGTCGCTTCGGATATGTCTTCTGGCGCCGCTACTCCCTGATGCCATTGGTGTCACCGGATTACAAGGAATGTTAAAGTTACGATCGATTTTCACTAAATTCCGGTCTGCTTGTACGCCGCAGAAGTCGGGACGCCTTCTATTTGTCACCCAGTCCCGTTTGCCCAGTCCCTTCCTTTTTTGTCGATTGAACGCATTTTCGGCATCTTCCTTCTCGATCCCCCACACAGCAGAAAACGAGGAGAGGGTAACTGATGTGGCAACATCCCTCCCTTTCCTCGCAGCGGAAAAAACAAACAAAAAATACCAAGGCATTCAAACAAACCAGCAGACCTTCGCATTGGCGTTAACAGTTTTGCAAGCAAAAAAAAAGAGAAGCTTCCTGTACATAGTCTTGGATCGTATACAGCATCTTCGCATTTACTGGCTAAGTATATCCTTCTTGGCACATATTTCCTTGTAGTAGTATAACAACGGTCTTCTGCCTTACTAAGTATAACTATTTATGTGTGTATGATACGAAAAGAATTTGTAAGATATATATTACTGATCATTAAACAACCTGAGGCCTATAAATGAAGGCTAAACGTGTTGAAAGTTTTAATGGCATCCTTAGTGCATAGATTTGTAGCAGAAAATCAAAAGCTATAGTTCAATATACCGGATTGAGTGAGAGGATGCGTTCTGATACCTAGTATCGTCATAGTTATATTGAAGACACCTACAAAGAGTAGAAAAATTGTAGTGACTGTATTGCTTTCATCATGTGACAAGGTAAGTTAATCCACGAACCACGAAATAGATGTTATGGAACTCGTTTCAGTACCTACCCCTACTAGCAAGAGTAGATGAAAACACTGGCTGTGAATGAAAAAACTGAAGTCTTAGTTTAAATAATCCTGATAACACAAACATGTCTGCAGCACACGTATTTTGGTCATTCCACCACAGCTCCGAACGAAATGCCCTCTCACCTGAAACCTGTCTGTTTTACGAATTAAGATAATGCTTGAAATTGACTGATACACGAGTCAGCCGGTTCTGAGGTTTCGGGTTTATTAATCACAATTTCTTGCCTATGAGGTAACAAATTATTGCAATATAACAGCATATAATAGTAGTATATTGTAGTTGATACAGCTTTTTTCTTTGACTGACACAATTTCCGTTTCGTAGATAGACCCATAGATTTTGTATTACGACAAAGAGGGAAAAAAGAGGCTTAATGTCGGGGCACAATGTGGTTGCTTCAAAGGTAAACAACAATTGAGCAGAACTTTCGTCCCTGCTCCGCTCTTGGGCTCTCAGCAGCTCAGCCGGTGAATCCAGGTTTCCCCGGTGAAAAGTCCACAAAGAGGGATGAAGATTTTCTCCTCGATTAGAACATAACCCTTTAAGGGTGGTACTCCACTGAAGCGTACTTGCCTCCATGCGTGTACTGAAAGGAGTTCCTTTCGTGTTCCATCCCCGAGGTTCCCTCCAAGAGCCTTTTCCCATTGGTTCGCCTCATCGCGGCCAGAATCTCGCTTACGTACAACTAGGCCCTACAGCCACCTCGCTAAGCAACCGACCAGGCCACCAAAGAGGCAGTCGGTGAGCCCTGAAATTGCAGCAACAGGTACGCGTCTTCACCAGCGAAGAAAAGACTTCTCGTTTTGGCTTATCATCTTAGAAGGACATCATAACAGGTAACTTACTTGGCCAGATCCAATGCATTTGCTTTGTTATCGGAACGAGAGCTGTGTGGTACGTGTTACGGCAGGAGTTTACCAAAACGAATTTCCTGGTAGAAGTAGTAAAATATTTCCTATTTTTCGTGTTTCCGTTGAAAAAAGACAGCAAAAGTCCTGTATTTTTAAAGTTACGCCGCATACTCACCAAGAAAAACGCTTTTTTTTTAGGTGCATAAAAATTAAAGTACATTTTCCTACTAGCAGTAGAATGTAGCTTACTGAAATGTTCCATTCGATTCTGGGAAGAGCTATTATAACCACTAAAGCATATCCCACAAATCGAAGTACATTTTTTTCTCCGTATTCAAGTGAGGGCACACGGTCTTTCGCAAAATAACGTGTGCTTTACGGTCCAGCGTATTGGTCTTAAAGTGTTTATTAAAAGCATAATTTTCTGATTATTACGACACAATTGTTGGATCTTCAGTGTTGTTGTAGATGTTCAGTCTCCTACTGGCTGCTGCTGAACCAGTATAACTGGTTGACGTTCCCGTGGACGCTTCACTCATCCTACTTGAAGCCGTCCTTGAATTGAATTTTTTTTCTGAAATTTTTTTTGCTCTGATAAATATCAATCAAATTGAGGACATTCTTGTTACAAAAGACCTTGCAAGCCTTTTGCAAACGTTCGAAAATAGTTAAATAAATATCTGACAAACAACCTGAGCATAGATGCAAAATAGTATGACAGAAAGTATATATGAAAATCTGATTTTCTATTTTACAAGGTAAACAATATATATGTGCAGTAAAAAAATCATTATTTGTGAAAAGTATACACATAATATTTTCTGAACGTGGCCTTATGCGTACTTTCTGTAAGTATTCATTTCTTCTTAATCCATTAGACCCGTCTCGACTTATCTTTTAAGCTTAAAAAACTGCAAGGGTATCTCAGTAGTGGGTCTGCTATTGATTCTAAGCTACCACTACCATCCTCTCCCGTCAGTTAGGTAGGCGGTTTTTAACAATGCAGAACTTCTTGTGAACTCTTTAGTAGTTCATGTAGTTCTTAGGTAGTTATGCACTTTATTTCGGTTAATTTAGTACGCTGCTATATATCCCTAAATATTCAACTTGATTTTGCCTCTTGTAGATCACCGCCGCCAGGAACTCGATCAGCCCGATCGGATTTTACGTCAGTTCATTGGTAAACTTCCGAGCTTGGACGAAATGACGGCATTAGACCTGTGATGTACGTGAGCTAAGCGATGCTGGTTTCTTCCATAAGCCAACAACCGTTACTGAGCCTCGAACGCACGCTCATTTTCACATGATCAGACAACGAAAATATCTGTTATTCAGTCTCTGTCAATCTTACTATAAATTTGATATATTTATCGAGGAGGCGAGCATAATGATTTACTCGATGTTAAAATAATCCCTCATACTTAGCTAAAACAGTTCTGCACTCCCGCCTTAAGATGTCAGACTTATACGAGACAGCTAGCCGTAATGAGAACATCATTTTGTTCTTTACTTGGAAGAGTGTAAGAACGAATTATACAATAAATGTGGTTTTTATTGTGTTCTCTAAACATCGTGCACATGCGTACCATGCCAATATTTGTCTTCTGAACGCTTTTACTACGCTTGTCTAAATGTACACCAGCTTTCAGAACGGTCGTTCAGTCAAGCCATCGGATACCCGTAACGAGTTCATCTTTACCAGCTCTGCCGTTTTATGTACGGTCTACTAATTTCAATGGTGAATCGAGGTTATGCTAGTTTAATGGAAGACTATAGGTACTAGACACAATGTCAACACCATTTTTACACAGCTTTTATACACGTGTTTTTTAACGTTTTAAACACGTGACGCAAGAAGTGGAATACATGAATATTCGTAACAGCCGAGAAATAATTGCCTTTGCTACAGAAAAATTCATCAGTCCGTTGTCAGTAGGGTTCTTGTTGCAAAGCCGCACCCAGCTATATAGTCCTATAAGGATAACACAAGAATACCTAGGACAAGAAACGCGCGTAAGAGATGCTCCTGTGCGTGTGTACACTCTGCTGGATATCATGTAAAAAGCCGCAGTTTTAATGCAGTTTCTTTCAAGCCACTGGGGCTAGCTTACTTTATCAGGCTCGTGATGGCAGAACATCTTATTGTAGGAAAGGAGTAACACCGTATAGTGAGAGAGTTTTGGCAAAATATCGATATAAAATTGCATTAATTTCCTATGCTTTTCGAAAAAGCTCTATTGTGAATATTTTTATTATAGGAATAATATAAAAATACGAGAAAAAAAAATATTTTGGGTAGGCTTTGGATAGAACTATTGTCCAACGTCTTTGTTTGGTATTATGCTGGCAATGTGCACTCATACTCCCCATCTACAAAGAGTATACAGTTGTATTGTTATGTTGTCTGTTCGACTATGTACGGCATACCCGACTCACAGTGGGAGTCGGTTATAATAGCCTTCAGTTAGGATATCTGTTAAATGAAAGCAGACGAACGGTTCGTAATGGTAACATACGTTCTTAGAAGGCGCTGACTATGGGGTACGCTCAAGCTGACAATGCTCAATACGATATTAAAGAAAAATGCTAAAGCTAGATTGCTGCTATTGCGGTATGGTTATCTAATGAAGATTGAGATTTTTAATCATGAAGTCTTCGAGAATATGTTCATTCGATAATAACGGGAAATTTCAATATAGGTAAAAATTTGCTTATTTATTGCTTGAAAGCATCGTGTAAATTTTTGATTGCTTACAAGGACATAGCCTCACTGCTACCACGAGCTCAAATCCGCTGATCTGCACTTTTTGATGAACACCCGTTCGACTAACATAAATTCACCAAACTCATTGGTGAGCTAATTGGGATTAAAGTTCAGACTTGCGTCATCTAACCATGCTATTTAGTCAGTCACGATTCGTTCTTCAACTAAAAACTTGGGATTAACGCTGCAAAAAAACTCTCTGAGGAACTGTTTCCATCTGCTTCCGCCAGGTAGCTCATTTCCACTGAGCAGCTATGCCTCCCTCTCAAACGCTTTTCTTTTCTAGAAATAAGAACTTTTTTAGGACGTGCTAGCGTTGATACTTCAAACAGAAATACTGGCCTCTTTTGTCCAGTTTCATTTATTGTACACTTTCTAAGGATAGTGCTAGTGCCTCTTGCCTTGTTTCAAACTTCGACAAGCTCTGTATGTCGGCAAGGCCACCTGGGACCTGGAGGTTGGGGTCTATAAGAAAAGAGGTATGAGTTTCTCTTCGACCTCGTGCTGAACACCCAAGTTTCGTTGGCTCCTTTTTTCCTCTGACGCTCCTTGCACAGCGCTGCTATAGTAAAGTCTTGAAGGCGTGAAGTCTTGCCACCTGAGCTCGCATGCTCTACGTAGTTTCCTAAAGGTTTCCTAGTTTTCCAAATCTGTCTAACGACCGAGGTGGGGTTCTGGACAAACTCACGAGCTATCTTGAAGCCTTCAATATAGCATCAGGTTGTTGGGCGCACGTACAATACGACCTCGCTGGCACTCAGCCTATATATAGACGATTGAACAAAGGCGCCATCTATGGACGAAGCTCACTTCGTTTTGTCTTGGATCACCTCTTGTTTGTTTTGCGGCTGCAGTACGATAAGGGCCAACACAAGCGGACTAAGGCGGAAAAACTCAACGTATACCGAAAATCCGTTCTCTAAAGGTAATGGCAATCGGCAGCTGATGGAAAATTTAAAAGAACTGTGTCGCTTAATGCTGCGTATTTTAGAGCCTTCACGCTTCGATAGGCTACGTTCGCCACTTCTCGCTGTATGGACGTACTTAGTCACCTTTCGCAACGTCTCTGTCCCAGTAGTAATTTCTGCTTCTACTAGAATTATAGAACGAGGAGCCGATTTACGTTCAAGCTTTGTCGAGGGACCCCTTGTGTCTTCATGATGTCCAACTAATCTTTAAGATATTGCTGGCATTTTTGTATATATATATATATATATACATATATATATATATATATTCATATATGTAAGGAATATCGCAACAATGTTAACAGGCGTAAGGGGTTTTGTATTATTAGAACCATACAAACGTTTAATAATCGCACACGCAATTCTGCAAGTTAGTTACATGTAACAGCAACGGCAATATTATTCGATCAGGATCGAATGGTAGCCCAAATCCGCCTGGTGTGGCGGGAGCGCCTTGACGTGTACCTCGACTAAGGACATTCGCTATGACGCTTACCGTTTTTTCATTTCGTTCACTTATACTAATTACTGTATCTTGTTTAATCAATATTCGAAGAGTAATATAAACAGTATGCGTAGCATTGTCTGTACTTGTGAGCATGCTTAGCGCTGTATCAATTTTTTGGGCACGATTTGCACGGAACGTAGTTAAGGGTGACGCCACTGCACGCCCGTGATTAAATAACGGGCTTGACTAGTTCTACTTCGTTATTTAAGGATTGACGGTGTAAGCTGGACGTCGGTGAATGCTTCAAAGGCTCAACTGAATACATCCTGCGGATTACCTATCACACTACGAAAGCAGTGTCAACCCGCAAAGGAGTAATAAGGCCACCTTAATTAGCTAAATAATCAATTAGGAAGAGGCGTACCCCGGGTGGCTATTGCGCACCTCTGAGTGTGTTGCCATAGTAACCGCAAGTTTGCGGTTATCAATATTTCCAACTTTAACATTAGCAACTGATCCGTTTCATCAGTCTTAATACATTTAGGAAGACCCGTCTGAAAGTAATACCTAATGGCTTGAGTGCTAGCCGTAGAAAAATTACCTGTAGCCAAATAGGATAACTGAAAGTTTTACATACTGCAATAAAACAATAACGTTTCTGTCTTGAGTATGTGGTTATATTATTTTTTGTCAAGTCTATATTCAAATCAAACGTAGACACGGCCGTAGAAATAAAAATGGCTTTGACCTACTTCGAGAAGGAACATGACTGAGTTACCGCAAAGCAAAACAGCTGCATATATACCGTATAAATAAAGCTGATATACGTTTGCGAAGGCTTGCCCATGAGGTTCATATATATGTGTATATATATATATATATATATATATATATATATATATATATATATTATATTTGCTTTCAATTGCTAGGAACGTGATCTGAATTTTAACATTACCCCAGTGAGGTTTTTTTATACCCGATACAGCCTATAAGTAAGCAATATTCGTATATGCCTTGAGCACGTCTAGAGTACTGCCTACACGAGGCTACAAAATATCTTAGAAGAGATGTCTCTATAAATTCTGCCGAAAATACGTTCCTTTAAGTGTTTTTATTATGAAACTGTTTTTATGCGTACAAGTTGCATAGTGTCTATAGTCTCATATATTTTCGTTGCTTAATAAATCATTCAAATACTCTTATTTTAGATGTCATCCAGTTGGTTGTTGCTTATGAAGTAATTAGGGTAAACAAAACCGTCTCTGAATGCGCTTTTGAAGCCAGGAGGGTCAGGCAAATAGAGTAAGCAGGCACGAATTCAGTTTCGTAGAATAACCTCGCTGGCCTGCTTCTCGACGTAATTGCGAGTTTAAAAATAAGATTTTCGTACGCCTAGGGCCGCACGAGCTACGCTGTGGCATTATGGAATACGCCACAAGAGTAGGCGGTCACGTCGAGCGCACGCGAGCAATGCTAAATTTCTACCGTGTCGTTCATAGCTTGGAGGTGTGTTCGCATTTCGAGACGTACAGGGAATCGCAAGATAAAACGAAAGCCGAACCGGCTGGGACCCTCCTAAAACCTTTTAAGGCTTCGTTTCGAACAAATCTGGAGGAATGCAGAACTAAAGCCCGAACCGTTATTCTCGTTACCCTTGCCCTGAGAGTTCTTCTCGTTTTATTTTTATCAGCTTTCTGACAAGTTCAGGTCAAAACTTTTCAGCGTAAACTTCAGTAATGAGGACAATGTCAACGTCCATTGCACAATGTTACACACAGCCCATATTCACGAAAATGTAAAGTCATAAACTCGGGCCGCGAGAGTTCAGACATCCATGTTAGACACTATATATGACCGAGTACATCATCATCGCGGTTTTTACGAATTACGAGGCGCGATTTCAAGTAATTCGTGTTTATTATTTCGAAACAGATTTCGTGTTCGTTTTGATCAAATAGGTTGAATTATTTATTACTTATTACGGTTCACTATATGGCTTACGCATTTGAAAAATTGTGCCCAATTACACAAGGTTGATTTTCATACCAGTAAACTTATCGAGATTGTCTATGAGAGTATTGAAAGTTTCCCAACTTCACAGGCGTACGACTAACTCGGCTATGCCGTGATCTTCGCTTAGAAGTGATTACAGCGGGTGTTGAAGACACGTTTCGTAGAACATTGCTAACCACCC